AGAAAAGAAGGAGACCTAGAATAAGATAAAAGCAGAGATAAGGACTGGTCACTGATAATAAATATAGGTAAGGAGAGAAAGAAGTAGACTATGGACTGTAAACTATATTACGACCTCAAAATAAAAAGAAAAAACAAAACATGTGAATAGAACTATGTACAAAACATGCTTTGGACTAGTGCGCTAAGTATATGCTGTATACTTAACAAAGATTAATCGATCTGAATCTGTTGATAGATAAATGAGGAGAACGGCTCGATCGCAAAACTTTTAGTGGAGGTAGTGTGATCCTGTGAACTACAACTCAGCAAACAAACAACGAGTCATCGATATATGTCGATAACTACAAACGAATCGAATAAAGAAAAACGAAAAAAGATATCAGCCTGGAAACCTGAGGGTGACACAGATGGTGTCCTTTGACAGTTTTAGAAGTTTATTCAAAATCTAGAGGAGTTCTAAGGAAGTGAAGAGAATGCTAAGGAATCCTAGAGGATCTTAAGGAATCCTAGAGAATCCTAAGGAATCCTAGGGAATCCTAGAGAATCCTAAGGAATCCTAAGGAATCCTAGGGAATCCTAGAGAATCCTAAAGAATCATAGGGAATCCTTGGAATCCTAAAGAATCCTAGAGAATCCTAAGGAATCCTAGAGAATCCTAAGGAATCCTAGAGAATCCTAAGGAATCCTAGGGAATCCTAAGGAATCCTAGAGAATCCTTGGAATCCTAAAGAATCATAGGGAATCCTTGGAATCTGGGGGAATTCAGGATTCCAGGATTCCGTGCTTTCCCCCTTGCTTATTATATTCACATTTTATTATACCCAGTTATATTGACTGAAATACACAAATCGAATTAAGCAAAAAATATTTCAAAAAAGCACTCTTAAATACTGACTTACAGAACAAAAGACCCACGAATCGACAGAAAATTTTAAAAAAAAACAGATACGAAGGCGAATTCAGCGCATTTTAATTCAATCCACCATCACGACGACGAACTCCTAGAAGCAAAGAAAGAAATCATAGTTTCGGATGATTTTTTTTCGTCGGCGTGCTTGGTACACATCAGCTATCCAACTATTTATTATCCCACAATGAAGGGGCCAAAAGAACAGGCTCGCATCCAAATGTTGCTCAATGATAATGGTAGTGGCAGTACTGGAACATTGAACGCCAAAAGAACCTTCAAGAGGCACTTAATTTTCGATCTTATTGCATGGGGGCAGGTGTTATATCACGCACTAGAGTCGTGCCATAAGGGAGAAGATCATAGTTAAGGTTATTGCGCAAGCATATAGTCTAAGTTATTACGCAAGAATATATTCAAGCTTATGGCGCAAGACTATGGTCAAGATTATTGCGCAAGAATATTCAAGGTTATTGCATAGAGTATAGCCAAGATTATTGCTAGTATAAATAGATTGAGTTTATTGTTAAAGGAGAACTTTTTATTTGTAAATAAACGTTAGGTGAGAAAGATCTTAGTTCACACGGGAACCTAACAGCTACCCTCTCCGCCGCCGACTCCCGACGTCAGGGGTACTAGGTTTAGTTGACAGGGGACGGATGTTGGGTGTGGTGTGTCTCTATATATGGTGCGTTATTGTTGCAGCGGTATGTGGCCACATGCGAAGTTTACGTTTCAACTATAATTCAACTGTAACAATCACAGTTATATCTCAGACGTTAAAGTGTTATTAGCAAGAAATAGGTACAAGATTATCTGATTGCCTGCTTCGCAGCTGTATAACAGAGCCACACCATACGTGGAGAATATTGAAATATGACTATGGAACATATAGGAGTACCTGATTGTCTGTAATGATGATGATTTATTGCGAAAGACATGACCATTGCCCGCTTTCATGACACACTAGAGAGATAAAGTTTATAAAATATTAAAAAGAGACAAACAATTTTAAAAGAAACAGCAAAGTATAAAATAATTTAAAAAAGAAGAGACATCATTGTGTTAGGTTCCCGAGTGAACTAAGATCTTTCTTACCTAACGTTTATTTACAAATAAAAACGATATTTCTTTTAACAATAAATTGATCTATTTATATAAGAAATATTGCACGATAATCTTGAGTAGACTCTGCACAATAACCTTGCATAATTCTTGCATCATAGCATTGAGTATTCTTGCGCAATAATCTTGACCATAGTGTTGCACCATAACCTTGAATATATTCTTGCGTAATAACTTAAACTATATGCTTGTGCAATAACGTTTACTATGATCTTCTCCCCTATGACACGACTCTATGTGACATAACACAGTCATCATAAATTCAACAGTTTATTTAAAATAGTTCTGATTGGGTTTAAACGCCGACGTGATATATTTGTTTCAAACTTTTCTCGGTAAAGCAGATAGTTAAAAATAAGATTTAGAAAGTTATCATTTGAAAGCAAACCGTACATAGTAAATGAGCGAGACAACTGAAAAACAAAGTCTTTTAATAAAGCCCAAGAAGCGCTTATGAAGTTCATGAGTGGGGAAAGCCCGAAACGAATCAGGATTTCCTGATTCGATTCGATGACAACATTTTCAAATCCAGAACCGGTTCGATTCGAGCCAGTTTAATGAAAAGTAAAACTTCCTTCTCTTTTATTTCCACACGTTTGTTTAAAATACAGTGCCTCGAGGTGGAACACTTGAGCAAAACATATCATTTATGTGACTGGAAGTCTGAAAGATGAAATAAAATTCTCGTTCAACCGCAGCTGCGCTACAAGGAATTGAAAAGATCTCCACATTAATGATCAAAAAATAAGCGAATGTCGGTCAGAATGGTCGACATCCATTCTGGTGCTCTCAAAAATTCTATCTTTGAAAATAAATCTGATTAGATATCTTTATAACTCGGTAAAAGATGCTATATATTCCTCTTCCTAACGCGATTATATGTTTCTGAGTGGTATAAACGAGAAAAAGGACAAAATTTCATTACGTGGTGGTTTTGTTACTTTATACGATTTCATTTTAGCTTAGCTTGACTGAATGTTTCAGCTGAGCGGCTGATTCGTCTTTCAAACATCAAATTTGGTTGGATTCGGTTCGGCAAGCAGCCGAATCGAATCGAACCGAATGTCGAATCATTCGATTCGTTTCGGGCTCTGGTGGGAAACATGGTGGGAGAGGTAAAGCGATTTTTAAACTAACGTTTTGTATGCGTTGAAGTTTTTAATGTTCGTTGTACTCACCGCAATAAATCAATTGTAACAGAAAAATTTAATTATTATGCTGTTAAAAATGCAGCAAAATTTGATGATTCATGAAGAAGATGTTATAAAAAGCAAAAAGAACAAAAATTTGCTGATATTGTTATTTTCACAAAAACAGATTTTGAATCATTTCCATCGTCTGCCGTTTCAACAAATGTCAAAATACAGAGTCCATCCTCAACGTCTGTGACAACAAGTCCACCATCAACATTAATCGTAACAACAACTTCTTCTTCGATACCCACATCAACATCAACTGCTCATCTCTCTACACTAGCAAAAAGACAACGTGATTTTAGCGAAGTATCATCTCGACAGAAACGAAGACGTTTATGTGATTTGAATTCGGAATTGGATGAATTTGCATCAGCGAATAATCTGTCAGTCAATCAAGTTGTAGGATATCTTCTTTACCAACGAAATTACAATACCGACAAAGATTTAGCTGATCTGGAACAACAACTTTATGAACGGAGTATATATTCAAAAGCCAAATACGAATAAAGTTGATTTGGATCAAGCATTAGCACTCAAATCCCATCTAAATTTAAGTCGTGCAGACGTGGATTTCGTTAAATGGTTTTCAAATGACTTCATTAATATTCCAAGCCGACAATTTATTAAAAGTCATACTGATAACTTAAGTCCATCTCTCAAAAGTTGTCGTAATGATAAATGTATTTGTGAAGAGGATCGTAAAGAACCAATACAGCTGACAATTCAACGATTAATTGGTGCTTTACATTCAGAAAATATCGATGTGTCACATAATTTGTTGCATCGTGAGAAAACTGGACACGATGGTGTTGATTCAATGTCTATTTACAGGTCAAATAAAAGTCCAATGTGTGATCCAAGTAAAATGTTTGTACCATTAGCATTGAAAGATGAAAAATTAGGTACAGTTTTATGGCACAATCGATCACCGAACAGTGCTTTTTATACTAGACCATTACTGCTAATTGCTGAAAAAGAAAATCATGAATTACTTCGTTTTGTAAGTGAACAATTCGAGCATCAAGAAAAAAGTTTAGAAGAAAATGGATTAACATTTCAATATAAATACGAAACATATAATGTCAGAATTGAAATTGAAGCAAGCATGAAGGATATGAAAGTTAGAATAGCTGAATCGGGTTTAGGAGGTGCTGAATGTTAAATGTGCAATACAAAACAAGAAGACTGGAAAGATACAAAAAAGATTTCATAATTTGATAATGATGGCAATATTTTAAAACGTAACAATGATTACGGAACTCGATCAGGTTTAACATCTGAGCCTGCATCAACAAATGACCAGCATTTTATCACTATCACTCATCAATATATTAATGGCACGTCCTGATTTCTAAAGATCATGTCTCATATGCGTCCCGATATACTATCGTGGGTAGTTCGTGGAAAAGATAAATAAGAACGTATGCAAAAAGAAAAAACACAATCATGGAAATTATTCAAACTAAAACTGATTTACGTTTGAATCAATGTGATTTTAATTCATGTACAACTGGCGATACAAGCACGACAGATGAAGAAGGACGAAAATTTTTTTCATATGAAGTTCGAGATGTCTTATTGGCTTGTGTACCACCACGACATCATAAAACACTTTAAAAATTAATTCATCTTCATTATATTATCTTGAGAGCTGCTTCTTCAACGCAATCGATTTATGTTTCTAAATATAAGGAGTCAACTATCGAATTTCAGAAATTATTGGCAAATGAAAAATGGATTGACTATACTAGGCATGCACCCGTTCCAATCTCTGGCTTAGAGGATTGGTACTAGTTAGGCTTAGGTATCAATCCAGGTAGTCGGGCTTGGTATCAATCCATCCAATCTCCAGTTAGGCTTGATACAAGTCGAACTGGTCGACCAGTCAGGCTTTGGTTTCAAAAAATATACGAAATGCGATATTTAGTTGCATATCTATGTCGTTTATTAGAAGTTCATTGTTAGCATTTTTTAATTCTTTTATTTCTGAGTTTTCTTTCGGGTTAATACATTTCGAATGCGTTTCCAGAAAGAAGGATTAGTTGAATTTTGTGTGATAGTGCGGAATTTTTTCCAGCTACTTTCTTTTACTGAAATCATCTCCTTGCGTATAATTTTATCCAGCTGTTTTAACTTAGGCCTTAAATTCCGATAAAATTTTTTATAAAATCGAAAAGGTTTTATAATAAAATCGAAAAACTTTCTTTTTTTTGATGGATCGAGTTACGAGTATAAGTTGGAATAGCAATTCGATATTCGATGGTTTTCTTAAGTAAATAGTTTTATTATACGCTAAGGTGATAGCCTCAGTCACCCATTTAGTAATAGCGATACTAGCAGTAGAATCACGGACAGAATTTAAAAAGAAGAAGAGAGATTTGATAGTTCATCACTAAGCACACACCAGTTTGTACGTTTGGCGAAAAAACATTGAGAAACAGAATTTACATTTATGTTAAGAGAGAAGTTTACATCAACAATAATAGGCAAGCGGCCAGGTGAAGACCATAGTTAACAAATTTCGAAACTTTCGATTTTTGCTTATCGGATAAGCTTTGGAGTTATAATAGCAATATCTAGTATGTTTTTTTACAAAACACCATTACGAGTGAACAAATGGTTAGGGGTGCCATCATTTAGTAGAAAAATAGAACCGTCATCAAGATATGATTCTGTACGTACACCTCTCGGGTTGGGATTTGGATGTCTCCACAAGCTACTCTTAGCATTTAAATCTCCGAGCAGAATACTTGATGACGAATTTATTAGGTCATCAAACAAATTCGTACTGAAATGCACATTAGGTGACGCATAGTAAGTAAACAGCCAATAATTTGAAATTGATGATCCTGGGAATTCTACATCTGGCACTTCTTCCGGAACATTTTGTTTCATAGTTTTAAATTCCAATTACTTACACTTTGTCGGCTTATATAAACTTCTTAATTTAAAAGAATGAATTGGATTGCTGTTTTCGTAAAAAAAAGCGTGTGAAAAATCAGCCATACAGAATCAAAGTGACAAGATTAATCTATCCCTTTGACAACATAAAACACAGTTTACAGTAAAGAAAAACAAGGAAAAAGTATTTGTATTTAGGCAAAACATGATCAAGGCAAGCCGGAACTGACCGGTAAACTGGTCATCGGTAGACCGGCCGATACGGGTACGAAGTTTGTATACCGGTGACCGGTACCAGTATCGCATTTTTGATACCGGTTACACCCTGGTCCTTCTGTATTATCTAATCTTATTTGAGTTGGTGTTATGATTGTTTCGTTTACCAAGTCTAATGTTTGTATGTTTGAAGAATTATTATATGAATTATTCGATCTAAATATTGATTCCATAAATTGTTCTGATGCATATCTATCACTTTGATCCGCATATTTGCTGATGATAGGGACTATTGTAGTAGCAATCGATGGGAGTAAGCATTGACAGTTAGTAATAGTTTGTTCATTTGAAAGACTTCGATAACTGATTGTTTGTTGAATCAGTGAAATTTTGTTCATGACAGTTGCTAAACCTATCACCTATAACTTTGGATAAGTCTAATTTATCACTATTACCTGATGTTGAGACAATGGTTCGCGAAGTTTGTTGTTGTAAATCAAAATTATTTGAACGACTAAGACTAAGTGATGGCCCAGTCGATACAATATCTGCGAAAGATTTCGCTTTAACGTTACTAATGTACTGCAGACGAACTTTACACCCTGGAACTGTCGCTCGATGCGTCTCTTCGCAGTCTGAGCATTTTAATGATGAACTAACACAGTTTTTGAGTAGATGTTCACTTCCGCATTTCCCACATTTGACATTATTTTTGACTCATCAGCAAAATGACCAAGTTCTTGGCATTTATAGTATCGAGTAATTTTAATTGGTGGAATATATTCCACAATAGATTAAACAAATGCTATGATGATTATCTTTTTCTTATCCAGCAGATTATCCCGAGCTTTGTCGTTCGCTAAATCAAGACGCAGTAGAGAAGTTGACTGATTTCGTTGAGCATTTCTCATACGGGAGACTGCGATAACGTCTTTTTCGATTGTTTGAATGTCTGCTCGCAAATTGAACATAATATCCCAAGATTCGGTGCGTTACCATTAAATGTGAAAATAACTGGAGGAAACGGTTCAGGCACGAAAGCATTCGGTTTTTTCATTATTTTTTGTGGAAGAGAAGCCGTTAAGAATGTACATTTACCTGTTTGAGAACCTTGATGTGATTGTGAAAACGCATATGACAATGGGATATATAAATTTGTTTCAGTACTAGCCTCACCATTTTGAGTGTAAACGCCGTTGTTTCGAGTATGACTATAAACGTTTAGACGTTTGTGTGTGTACAAATGATAAATGTTATACACATACAGTAAAAGAGAAGAAGCGTGGCAAAAGTACAGACTACAAACAACACGTCCTATCTGTACAGTGATCAAATGAAAAAATCACCAATAGGTAGCTTTAAAACCAATGAATATCAAGCAGCTCTGTGCCAGACGTAAATCAATTTATCCCCCGCAAAAATTCGTCCTATGGATGTCTCCCTCATTTCTTCTGAGTGCTTAAAAAATACTTTTTTCCATTCTATTTTGAAATGGATAGTACATAACTAAATTTAACGATTTTTCTCTACTCTAACTTCAAACATCACATAATTCATAAATTTATTATATTCCTTGGAAAATGAGGTACATATTGCTTGTTGTATATAAGTGTTGAAAAGACGCTCAACTTTCCTTAATAAAGTTTTATCGACGCCTGTATGTCAGAGCGAAGGCCGACTTATAACCTGTACGTCAAAAGTACATTCTAAGTAACACCTGCTATTCTATTTATTGTCGTGGTAGAAAGCAAGGAGAAATTAAATAAACCAAAGTAACTCAAGCGTATTTTCTATCTATTCTATAAATATGAACTTCGAGCAGTACGCGAGAAAGGAGATAATCTAACAGCAAAAGAAAAATACATCCTTTTATGCCGTTATTCTATTCTATACACTCTCTATTTCATATCCTTCATCCATCTACTATTGTATGTGAGTGTATGTTTTTAGTATGTATGTGTGTTAATTATCTTTTCTTTTTGACTGTTCTCAGGATGTAATAGACCCGCCCGCTTTATTGAATCAAATAAACTATGTTTAGAACAAAAGAAAAGTAGCAGAAAGAACTCTAGCTGTTGTTGTTAATGTGAGTGACTACGTGCAAGAAGAAACCATTAAAGTCATCGTGTTTGATGGATGTCAAACACTACAAAAACTGCGATTACACATGACATCTAACCCTTGACATTGACAATAGCCCTTTGGTAGAAAAATGTTAACAGACTAAAATACTTCACTTTTAAAAGCACCGTCGTTTCTCTTTGAACGAATAACAAGGGTAAAACGGAAGATCGACAGCTGAAATTTTGCCATTATCGTTTTTACTCAACATTTTCGAGAAAATTGTCAAAAGTCAAATCAATTAAAATGCCAAAATAAGAGTTTTATTTTTTATTTTTCAAGTACAGATACCACAGAGAAACCAAAAAAACGTAGCGTTTGTATATCTCACAGCAACTGAGCTGTAACAAACACAGATCCCACAACTTACAAAAATATTTTCGGTAGTTGAAAAAGAAAATTACTGTCGAAATTCCGTTGGATTTCAGCAATGCCAAGAAAATCATATCTACTTTCTAAAATTGTCGAAATTGTTGGCGGCTTTACTCTGTATATTCGACTAAACTCCCAAAATCCTTCGGAATTTGAGTTGTCGAAATTCCCGATATTCTAGGATATCCTAACAAAGAAAGGTAACCTTTAAACAAAAGTTCGTACAGATCGACTTTTATGTAGATTATCGTTAAAGAGTCGATAACCTCTTAGCTTTGCTAAAACACTGACCAGTATTAAGATTACACTTTTCTAAAAAATCCTAGTCTCTATCAAGCCTTTAAGTTTTTATAGCATTCGTTCCGTTTGAAAGGAAAATAGAACTTCACTCGAGACATATCCTTTTTCATGTTCCTTTTGTGTGTGTGTGCGTACAGAGGTGTGACGGACGGACGTACATACATATCGTCATGTGGTAGTGTGAGGGACGTACATACACAGAATCACTAATGAGTGTCACGGACAGTGGTCCACATAGGTTGATGCGTTCGA